GTAGTTAGTAGTTAGTAGTTAGTAGTTAGTAGTTAGTAGTTAGTAGTAGTAGTAGTAGTAGTAGTAGTAGTAGTAGTAGTAGTAGTAGTAGTAGTAGGAGTAGCAGTAGCAGTAGCAGTAGCAGTAGCAGTAGGAGTAGGAGTAGGAGTAGTAGGAGTAGTAGTAGTAGTAGTAGTAGGAGTAGGAGTAGGAGTAGCAGTAGCAGTAGGAGTAGGAGTAGCAGTAGGAGTAGCAGTAGGAGTAGGAGTAGGAGTAGGAGTAGGAGTAGGAGTAGGAGTAGTAGTAGTAGTAGTAGTAGTAGTAGTTTTCGAGGAGGATGTAACGCAGGGAGGTCTTCCGAGGTGTTTGGACTTCGCAGATTTGAACGCTGAGAAGACCTCTGCAGATTCTCAGGTAACTAAGTAAGGTAACCAGTTTCTATTCCTTGACTTTGATGGTGTTTCTGAAACTCTGATAGGCTTCATACATGGACATCTTCGTTGTTGGCTTCTGACAACCACGGATATGATGGCCAGTGAGAGTGACGTTCTGCAAACGTGGGCTCGATTGGGGGGGACGGGAGCATACACTCCCTGGAACAATCATGAAAGTGAAAAACCACTTGTAGAGGAAAATGGAGATCCACGGTAACCATGATTATTCCAGAGAGCGTCTCTTGGTGATCGGGCGAATCTCCTGGTGCTTAGATGGAAGTTTCTGTTGTCTTTCACGTCCACATCTCAAAGTTGTTCCTCCCAGAAGGACCCTCCTTCTCCCACCAAACATGGACAACTTTAGAAGGATGGCATGTAACATCAAGCCAAGACTTGTCTGCGTTGTTCGAGGCGCATGAGTTGCATGAATGACTAACACCAGTTTGAGAGGCAGAACGGGGAACAATGCAGTCCAGGCGGATGGCTCGAGTTCCTAACCACATATATCACCTGGCAACTTATTGCTCCTAGCATCAAGTCCATGTGTCGTCGCTATCTTGAAGCTGCATGGACGGTCTGAGTGACTGTCACTGTTTACACTTCTGGTCCTGGTTGATTGCGCAACACTTGAAGTAGCATGCGTCAGCACGAGAGAATTCGTCGCGCATGTCTAACGCCAAGCGTCACCTCAGTGTGAGCAAAGAGTACGGAAGAGAGGCCACACGAGCAGAGATTTTTTGACGTGAAAGGGTTTATACAGGATGTAACCTTCAAAAGGCTGGCGTAGGCAACCTGCTTGGGGACGTAGGCGGTCGTAGGCATTGTAATTATTCTCTAATGGTTGTCGTTGGCGTTTGCCGTAGGCGACCGAAATCGACCGAAATAGCATGCCTTGAAGTCGCCACCCAGCTTGTGTTTCTGATTCAAAAAATTGACAGTTGCTTTTTCCCGAAAGCATTGCGAAGGGTTCTTCCGGAAAATCCTTTGAACACTGACACTTCGACACTTACACTTAGACACACCTAGACATTGACACTTTCACCACACTTGCAGGATAACATGAACGCTATACGTAGCCCTGTGTAAGTGGAAGAGCGAAAGCTGTCAAAGTATGCAAGTGGAAGTATGCAAGTGTAAGTATGCAAGTGATGAGTATGCAAGCATGCAATGAGTAGGCAAGTGAACTAGCGCGGGAGATGTCCTAATGAAAAAAAATTTCCCCACTTTATAAATTCTCTCTTAAAGGCGGAGGGTGGGACGAACAGCGTCAACCGAAAGTGCAACCCTCTGCGGAGATCGTGCGTGTCGAGTGCGCGAAATGCAGGCGAGAGTGCGATGTGTCAGGTCCGCGCGCAACCCTCTGCGGAGATCGTGCGTGTCGAGTGCGCGAAATGCAGGCGAGAGTGCGATTTGTCCGGTCCGCGCGCAACCCTCTGCGGAGATCGTGCGTGTCGAGTGCGCGAAATGCAGGCGAGAGTGCGATTTGGCGGCTGCCCGCGCGACCCTCTGCGGAGATCGTGCGTGTCGAGTGCGCGAAATGCAGGCGAGAGTGCGATTTGTCCGGTCCGCGCGCAACCCTCTGCGGAGATCGTGCGTGTCGAGGGCGCGAAATGCAGGCACTGGCAACTTTGTAGTACAACTTGAGCACGCGGAGTCTCTGGGGAGCTGGAAGATGAGAACTGGCGACTTTGTAGTACAACTTTAGTACGCGGAGTATCTCGGGAGCTGGAAGATGAGAACTGGCGACTTTGTAGTACAACTTTAGTACGCGGAGTATCTGGGAAGCTGGAAGATGAGAACTGGCGACTTTGTAGCACAACTTTAGTACGCGGAGCAATCTGTGGAGCTGGAAGCTGAGAACTGGCGACATTGTAGTACAACTTTAGTACGCGGAGTCTGCGGAGCTGGAAGATGAGAACTGGCGACTTTGTAGTACAACTTTAGTACGCGGAGTATCTGGGGAGCTGGAAGATGAGAACTGGCGACTTTGTAGTACAACTTTAGTACGCGGAGCAATCTGTGGAGCTGGAAGCTGGGAACTGGCGACTTTGTAGTACAACTTGAGCACGCGGAGTCTCTGGGGAGCTGGAAGATGAGAACTGGCAACTTTCTAGTACAACTTTAGTACGCGGAGCAATCTGTGGAGCTGGAAGCTGGGAACTGGCGACTTTGTAGTACAACTTTAGTACGCGGAGTATCTGGGGAGCTGGAAGATGAGAACTGGCGAAGTTGTAGTACAACTTTAGTACGCGGAGTATCTGGGGAGCTGGAAGATGAGAACTGGCGACTTTGTAGTACAACTGTAGTACGTGGAGCAATCTGTGGAGCTGGAAGATGAGAACTGGCGACTTTGTAGTACAACTTTAGTACGCGGAGTATCTGGAGAGCTGGAAGATGAGAACTGGCGACTTTGTAGTACAACTTGAGTACGCGGAGTATCTGGGGAGCTGGAAGATGAGAACTGGCGACTTTGTAGTGCAACGGAGTATCTGGGGAGCTGGAAGATGAGAACTGGCGACTTTGTAGTACAACTTGAGTACGCGGAGCAATCTGTGGAGCTGGAAGCTGAGAACTGGCGACTTTGCAGTACAACTTTAGCACGCGGATGAGTCATCTCTCGCGGCTGAGTCATCTCTCGTAGCTGCTCTGGCGCCCCTGCAGCTGAGTCATGTCTCCCGACCACCCGGCTCTCTTGAGAGGTTGACACACACACAGAGACCCACGCACTGCCTCAACTTACTCGGAGACACACACAGACAGAGACTCATACACACACAGACACAGATACACACACAGAGACCCACACACTGCCTCAACTCACTCGACTTAACACTTCACACTGATCACTTAACAGATAACTCACACTCTGACTTCCTACGTGATGAAAAATGCTTTCGGGCCACTCGTCGTCTAGTTTGTCTTAGTTTCTTGTAGCAGACGTGTTTCATCTCATAGTCTGAGACATGAACACGGTGTACACCCACACGCCCAAAAACGCGGACCACAGTTGTGCGACGAGAATGCGGCGGCAGGCAACTGCCATGCTGGTGCCACACAGCAAAGACATGAAGTGGTCGTGGACTGCGGCGTTTAATCTAGGACTAGTATACAGAGACTTATTCCAGCACCGGTAGTGCTCAATGTGTGAGGCTCAAACCCTGGAGAATGCCTGGGGAAGAGGAAGCTGAGGCAATGGATTGGATGTGGGGGGGCAGTCTTTGGGTCAGGATGTGAGAGGTCGGGGTTGTTGTTGGTTACGGTGGGGGTGAGGGTGATGTTGCTTTTCATTGTAGCTTGCGTGGTTATTATAGTTGTTTTCTCTTGGGATAGCTAGTTCTTCTAGCCTTTCCAGTTTAATTGATTGCTTTCTTCCTGCACCCAGGCTGTTGTAGCAGCTTGTCTCAAGACTCTTTGCATATGGGCGTGTGCACGCGCACCTGCGCAGACGATTTGGGGCTTGAAGTCACACCTCACATCGACAAACCGATGGAGCCGAAACCCATTGGGCTCCAACAACGCATCGGCGACGTTTTGCACGGGACCTGTGAGGTGGTAAAAGATTTTCACCAGCAACTGCTGCAGGCCGTGGGGCAGCCGTGTTTTGGGTGGGATGGGGAGGTTGAGCTCAAAGCGACAGCCGACAGATTCCGGAAAGGAACGTTGTTTTGGGCCGTGATGCTGTCACCATGTCTGAGTCGGTCTGGTACTTTCAGCTACGTACTGCAATATCTTTGCTGTACCTAGAACACAAGATGAGTGTGACCACTTTCCATTGTATACTACTTTACAATATAGTACAATGCAAGGCAAGATAACAGAAAATGACCCAATTTCACAATGAAGTACAACATGCTATAACATACTGTAATTATTTATATAGACACACATATTCTTTAATATGCGCTCTACTCCAGGACGTGGATCGTTTGACCTCTGACCTGCTTGGCAGGCGGTGCAGCAGAGAGTCGTTGTTAATGACCAGCAGGCCTGCTGCAGATTGGCTGCTCCGAATTTCGCGCAGTGCGCACACACTTAGGAAATGCGTGCTGAACTGAATGCCACATGCCACACGCCCACCTAGGTATGGATGCCTAAGAGGTCAGGTTCAAGGTATGTAGGACAGATTGACCATAAACCTGAGAGAGTCTTCACATCCAAAGTCACGAACACAAAAGAATCGGCAAGAAATCGGCCGGCGAGTGCTTGACTGCGAATAGTGAACCGTTGCAATGGCTGGAGGATTGTTCTAGTTAAGAACGGGACCAAGTAGGAATTTCTCCGGTAAAAATGCAGGTGCATACGGGTGATCAATCCGTGCTTCCCACTCCAAGGCATAGCTTCGTTGCACTGAGTTTGCCAAGGAGTGCTCAGTCCCCCTGCTTTAGCGTGGAAAAGAAAGCAAAGAGAACACATTCAAAGGAATCCCTGTGACTCCAAGGGTTTCACACACACGCCTCCCGATTAGGGAGGCAAAATTAGTCTAACTAATGTGCATATGTGCGCGCAGCATGGACAAAAAGGTGAAGACATGAGAAGGAGGACGAGACGCGACAAAAGTGTGTGTGGCTGCGATGAAGGGGAAAACAAGTGCACAGGGACAACCAATGAACCCAACCTCATTGTCACCTGGGCGACCTGAAACCTGGGTTGAAGGTAGGTTGTGCTCGAATGTACTAAAGGCCGGGCCGTTGTGTGCGCAAATGAAAGAAAGAAATGTAAGGCAGAAGGACATGAAAAGAAAAAGGAAAGAAGATGTTTGTGGAGGGGAAAGAATGAAAAAGGAACCCAAATGGAGGGGCCGGAAACCGATGAAGCCAAACCTGACGTTAAAAAACCTAGGAAGACCTGCCTTGTTTGAAAAGTGCGTGCTGTGTGTGCACCTAAGGTTGTGACAGACCCCAATGAGTCTTGAGACAACTACGGCCGCTGTGGCCACGTACGCCATGCCAAAATGGCTGGCTGCTTGGACCGCCATGGTCACCTCATGGCGTGTCCGAAGGCTGCCTACTTGTATTCAATAAACCATCAAGTCTTGGCAAACAACTTTGGCATAAGCCTCCTGGTGTCCGCTACGGACACCTACGTTCTCAAGCCGGAGAACATGGACATACCCCTGGTCGACGGGGCCACAGGGGACACTCCTCGGGTACACCCTGGGCTCTCACTAAGGAGAGACACACAGGAAATGCATACTGAACTGAATGCCATATGCCCCACGTATGAATGCCTAAGGGGTCAGGTTACAGGTATGCAAGACAGTTTGACCAAAACCTGAGAGAGTCTTCACATCCAAAGTCACGAGCGCGAAAAAATAGGCAAAAAATCGACCGGCGAGCAGTTGACTGCCAATGGTGAACCGCTGCAATGGCTGGAGGGTTGTTCTAGTTAAGAACGGGACCAAGTAGGAATTTCTCCGCTAAAGCTGCAGATGCACACGGGTGATCAATCCGTGCTTCCCGCTCCAAGGCATAGCTTCGTTGCACTGAGTTTGCCAAGGAGTGCTCAGTCCCCCTGCTTTAACGTGGAAAGGAAAGCAAAAACAACACACTTAAAGGAATCCCTGTGACTCCAAGGTTTTCACTCGCGCACACACACACAGGTTCAATAACAGGTGGGGTCAAAAGAGAGACGACCCCAAACTAAACCCTTGCGGTCGAATGGGCCCTAACCTAAAAAGGACTTGACTGATGCATTTTTTGGGGTGGATGGGTTTCATAAAAACCCAAATAGATCCAGTTGCCAAAGGGTTGTCCAAACAGATCGCGCGGTTGCTTGATTGGGGTTGATGGTGCTTCCACAACGCATTTTTCTGGGATGAATCTGGGATCGGCACTAGATCCATGGACACACTTCATTGGGACTCGCGACCATCCGTCCGTAGTCTCTGCTCTCAAGCACAGACACTCTGGACCTTGGTCCAACGGTCGCAGAGACCCATCAACTGAGAGTTGACTCACAAGAGCCACTTGGAGTTCTGAGAGGTGTTGGGGTTCACCACCTCCTGCAGTCTAAAGCGAATCTTTTTGTTTTAAGTCCTTCAGTTGATCGTCCTTTCAGCCCAGAGACATGTCCTTGCGTCACCTGAATGGGTCGTGAGTTGGGAAACTAAATTTTGTGAGAAGCAGCCACGTCACCTCTTGATCTCCTTACGGGAAAGCTGTGTGTTGATTACATAAAATGTGCTACCGGTGCCCGAGCTTGCTACATGAAGAACAAGCAGAGAATACCACACTTGGCGGAAGACTGAAGAGGATGGGCCCCAAAACAGTGCTTCCACGATGCGAGCAGAGGGCGTGAGTCATGTTTAGATGGTGTTCGGAACTCCTTTCGGAGTTGCAGGAGTTGCTGGGAGCGTTGCGATCGGGTTCTTCCATAGAAGGGGTTGCCATTAGTGCACTTGCCACTTCTAGGCTGCTGCAAGGAGCAAACTTTGCATTTTTTTGGGCTGCTGCTGGTATTACAGTTGCTGTTCTAGATGTGCGCCCGTGCTCGCCATTTGAGACTTGTACATCTGCAGGAAAGAAAGTAGGCCCCTGCCACAGGTCTGCTCGCAGGTCTGCTCGCAGGTCAGCTCTCAAGTCTGAAGAGCTGCTTCAGAGGTTGCTGCTGCTACACTGTTCTAAACGCTACTAGGGGCTCCTGGCATCGCTACTAGTAACAAGAAGCTACTAGGGGCTCCTGGCCCTACTACTAGGAGCAAGAAGCTACTAGGAGCAAAGACGCTACTAGGGGCTCATTCCTGCAGTTGCCAATGTAGATGTGCAAACAGATTGTATCTAGACTGCTCCGGTCTTGCTTCACCAAACACTTCTGCTAACTTACATTATGTTCACGTCCACGATAACATATATAATTGAGTTCGCGCGTGCGCGCGCGTTCGCCACATCCAGGCTCTTTATGACTATTTATGCTTGGCCACACATGCGTGTCGGATGCTCAAACATGAGGCGACATGCGAATTCCCGATTTGCTCGAAGAACCATCTGCGGGAGTCGTGCGTGTCGGATACTCACAAAATGTCTTACAAACAGCATGCAAGAGTCTTTTACAGAGAGTGTCACGCAAGAGTGTCCTACAAGTGTTTCTTACAAGAGTGTCCCACAAGGGTGTCACACAAATGTGTCTTACAAGAGTGTCAACGAGGCGACAAGTAGAAAGATTACAGACACACGTTGATACAAAAATACAAAACAACAACCGAACTTACTGTATATGCAATGTGTCCAAACGCTCCCGCGCCATTCGTCGTCTAGTTTTTGGATCCTAGATTTAGATTTGCCAGATAGTAGGCCGGCTATGCCGCCGTCTCCCAGTGATTTTTCTTGGCACCAACGTCCCGAGGACATGGAGTTGGGAGCGGCCGGCTATGCCGCCGCCGGCGCCGCAGCGGCCGGCGGCGTTGGGGTGGGGCTGTTTGGGTACAACCGTGGCAACTACATGATGGACCAAAAGCCACTCAGCTGGGTGCAGAGGGTGCATGTGGAGTGGAGCTGACTCAGCTGGGTTGTGCCGGGAGGCGTGTGTGGGGGGGGGTTGGTGGCATGGGAAGCGGGGTTGGTGGAGGAGGCTTTCAGAAAATGGACATGTAAAGTTTCCAGGCGGTTTGGTTTGGGGCTTAGACCATTGATGTTGATGCATCAAGATGTTTTTTTTTCTCCACAGTTTCATAGTACCTTATTAGAAGACGTCACAACTTGGACATGACATTTGGATCATTTGGCTTGCAAGTACGGCCGCAATCATCGTGGGATTTCAATATTAGTGACATTTGTTCATCGGAAAGAAAATTGCCCATGGCATTGATGGGGACCGTGAAGAGGGACAATCACTCAGAACTTGTTTTTTTTATTCTTTTAGTTTTGAGGATAGGAAACAGTGCGCCACTGAGTTTTCTTGGGAGCAATCGTTTTGGACATAATTATCTATCTCGCAGCGGCAAATGGGTGGGCTTGGCCTCGTGCTTCCAAAAGTCAATAGCTGGCTGGCTGGCTGCCCCTGTCTACAGGTGAACCAATGGGCCTCATCTAGACACTGGAAATCGGCCGGAGCCACATCCGTAGATGTTTACTCTGTTGTTGGTTGAACTGGTACCTTTTATTGGAATCACCACTGTTGTTGGAAAGAAGATCGAATGCATAATCAATTTTCATTTGATGTGACGAAGCGTGCTCGTCTTGCAATCTCAGCGTCTTGCAGCGTGCTCGTGAACAAGCTCAGTGTCGAATGCAGAGCTGAATGCAGAATGCTGGAGCATGTCCAAAAGCCGGACCGTTTTGCGCTACAGGTGAAGACCGGTTTGCTCGCTCCATAGTTCTCGATCCACTTGAAGACCCGAAACATCTACCGTTGGACGGATCGTTTTCTTTGCGACCAATGCTACTGGTCGTTTCTATTCGCAAAACAGGCCGATCACAACACAAGGCCGCAAGGCCACCATCCATTTCAGACACGCAAGGCTGCAAGGCTGCTCTATTGGCAAGAAGAAGCACGACTGTTCCTCTTGAGGCAACCAGTCTTCCTGAAACAAGGCACCGCGACCACCTCAGCCCCAAGGCACCGCGACCACCTCACCCTCACCTCACCCACCAGCCCGACACATCCGGCGCCTGCCCGATCGAACGGTGCGACCAAGGCTGCACTGGTCGCGCTTCAATGCCGGCTTCGCCATGGCCTCCGCGCAGACGGACCAGTACAAGGTGAGAAGAGTAGCAGGGGCCATCGCTGGTCTCGGTTGGTTACTACCTTGGTACTATCTTGGGTTAGTACTATCGCTCGTGTCGGTTGGAGGCCATCGCGATGGCCTCTCGCTACCATCGGTGCTCCCGTGGACGAACTCCCTGGTGCGACGAGTTCGACTCGATGGGGTAAGGAATCGCTACCATCGGCGACACCTATAGGCTCATTCCCTTACGAAGGCACCAGTCAGAAAAGTGGAACAGTATTTGGTACTAACAGGGAAGCAAGATGTCTTGAACTCGGGTTTGG